GATGGTCTACTTTTGAATTTTCAAGGTTTATTCATGTGAATTTGTGAAAAAAACGTGCAGAATAGGCAACAGAAAAAGTACTGTAAAAATTAATTACCATGTGGAACTCTGATGACAGTTTAGGAAGACATACCATATATCCCAGAAAACTTTAGTTAAACTGAATTTAAGGTTGAACAGACACAGCATTAAGTTTATTGGAAAAAGTTTGAGAAGAGCATTGTTTAGACTGTGTGAAAACCACTGCCCTCCTTCCCCAAAACGGAATCTTTTGAATTGGGAAAGTGCAGGAACCCACAATTAAACTTCAACATGAAAAACAAATGGTGAAACTACAGAAACACAGTTAAGGTTGGCCAGACAATCATTTACTATGCTGTGCACTTCCCTTTTTCCTTACTGCCGCACCCCCCCTTTTTTTTTTTAAATGAGGGTCTGTCTTTAACTTATTTTTAATTGCTAACCAACCTTCAGAAAACAGTAATATTTAAACAGCTGACCAATTTTGGAACCAGCAACATACACACATAATTTTCTCTGAAGAGTGAAAACAAACTAAAGGATAAAGAATTTAAACACGTTTAAATGTAACCCACCATCAGTATGTTAACTTTAGTTTTTAATCCTGTGAGTACCCTCCAACATCTAGGACTAGAGACTTACTTGTACAAAGATTTCAGCTATGCAATAAAATTTTAAAAACTGGTTTACATGTTACTTAAATGTTTTCCTTTACCTGGTTTATTTAAAAAACTTGCACAAATCTCATTACAACCGATTTCAGTTATATAATCTAATTTCTATGTATACTTACCTGCTGAAGTTAAACAAATTAAAAAATTCACATTAGGCTGTCAATTTTAGACATTAGCACAAATACAATTAGACCTATTTAAACCTGATATGCGGGATTAGAATCTTCAACTAATCCAACTTTACTCCTTATTACATTTATTCGGAAGTGTTTGCCCTTTATAATTTTTGATTCAGGACCTGTTTAATTGCCAAAATATATAACTTTCTGTGCTTTCTACACCCTTAGGAAAAAAAAAATAGGAGCATCTGTTTCTGTAGAGCCTGACCTAGTGCTAGGAGGTTAAGACAAATCCATTCCTGTAGTAAATGCTGTTGGTTTTATTTAACTGCTGCAATCACATTATTGCCTAGTAGTAAGGCTGTGTCTAGATTTCTTTTGTAAACCAGAAGTAATTTTAGGGCTGTTTAGGCATTTTTCTACGCTTTACCAAGTTCTCCACACATTGAAATAATTCCCCCAGGAAAGTGACCTTCCCTGTAAGAAACTTGATCTTACAGGTATCAAATGACCTGAAAAGATCTTTCAGCAGTTTGGTCAGGATAACATTAATAACCTAACCCACAGGAGAATATTATGTACCAAAACCTGTGTGAATTTGATGAATGTGGACTGCAAAGAAACTGACATACCCCCAGCACTGTTCACCAAACACTAAATGCATGAATTCCAGCTGACTACATCTGCAGAACCACCAGCTGTGAGGTGGGAAGACTTCACCAACTTCCTCAAAAAGTTGCAACTGTATATTTAGCACAACAAAAATGCTGTCAGCTTCTTCTCACCCTAGAACTGAAACTACTGAAACATGTAAGAAATGTGTTCTATTATGCTCTTTTATCGTATCCAGGTAGGCTACCACAGCAGCTACAAGTACAGTACCATTAAAACACACCAAGAAACATATATTCCAATACTTATATGTAGTATATTGAACTGAAACACAGCTGCACACAGTGCTCTGAAACAGTCTGAAGAACTTTAATTTGACATATAGTTTACAGCTCTGGAAAAAGGAATTCTGTTTTACTGTAATCAGCACTTTTATTTGTTATAAGTCACACCTCCTAAATATATATTCATAATCATAAGTCACTTCAAAACGCTATGTATTTAGGAGTTACAATGCCCTATCTTTAGTAGTTCTGAGCTGATAAAAGACTAATGGAATGCCGAGCCAGTAATTCAACCAATAAGAGCTATGTGTTTTATAGTTAAGGTTGCTATATGAGCAGTGTCCTGTACAAAAGCCTCCTGCATAAAACCGCCCACAGAACATGTCTCAAAAAATGAGACTAAATTGTACAAACAACTGTAGACCTAGAACCGAGAAAACTATTTGATGCTAAAACACTGAGCTTCGAAGAAAGAAAAATCTTTGAGATCCATCAAAGCCTTGCATACCTAACTTTTTACCCTCTCAGCATGGATCAGCAGAACGCACTTGTTTTATGTGAATGGGATTTTTTTAGACATTAATTGCCATACATATGTCAGCAATGTAGATTTGGTTGTCTTCAAAAAAAAAATCTGAAAGTCTCACAATCTGTAGCATACTTTTTAGTAGGAATAAACAGAATAATTTCTCCAACGGAAAGTTACTGCAGGGAAGAAAAAGACAGTTTTTGCTCTATCACCACCTTATGGCTAGAAAAAGAATTTTCCTATGACAACATTCAAATTTGTCATTTTTTTCCCTTTACTGTATCACTATAGTGAGATAATATTTACTATTTGTATGATGCAACTTAAGATTCTTTTTTAGCAACGATACACTCCTCCACATGCGAACACAATAAAACTCCAAGACATAAATGTCCTTTCTAGCATCTGTGTTGATTTTCTGAATCAAAACAGCAGACTTAATGAGCTGACATAACTTTAGATTCAAATAGAAGAGTGATTATTTGAGCCCTGGCCCACAGGAGTACACAAGTCCATATAGTTTCTCCATAGATCTAACCTTCACTGATATACCATTCTTAATATTCACACTTTTTAAATAGTTTTAAACCTAATAATCAGGTGATTTATACCACTCAAAATATTAAACTTACATGCCCTACAAATTAGAATAAAAGTATGCATGAATCTAGTTTTAAAGCTTTCATAACTATCTCCTCTCTTTGCTTATCTTGCAAGCAAAATGATGTGACTGCGAGAGCTAGGATAGTGTATACTCCTCACGAGAAGCCTTACTCAAGTTGGCTAAACAGCAGATCCCGTTTCATCAGTCACTCCATACACGAGATGAAACAAAAATAGCAGCGGCACCATCCCACAAGGGAAAACACCCTCCTCCCTCAGTCACCTGCTCATCAATAAACTTATTTCTTCTTCTTTTGTGCCTTAATTACTTGCAATACTACTCACTGGCTGAGGGACTAACATTAGCTACATGAAAAGCTGAAAACCAAGACAAGTGCCACCAAAAGTAGTTTTGCCAAATTCTTCTATTTCTTCATTTTGACTTCTCCCTTTACATTGACATTCACAGTGAAAGGGCAGGGTGGAACATGAAATAGAAGAACAGTGGGAAAGCTGCAAAGAGAAGAAAAAGAATGGAAGAACTGGACAATGTCTTAGTGTGTCGTTAATTTTTAGGCCTTCTATCCTGCCTTCCTGAGGAAATGAAGAGTCATAACGGTATTGCCTAAGCACCCCCCTTCCCCAGATCCCTTACCTTTAAAACCAGAGGAAATTCAGTTGTGAGCCAATAGTCTCAATGATTTCTGAACACTAAATTTCTCAAGGTTTTATGAAAACAGTCGAATAGAAGAGACACCTTACTAATGCATCAGCATGACTCTTCCCTCGATAATCCTTGCCTTCTTCCTCCTCATGGCAGACAATCAACATAGGAATTCAAATAAGAGAACTCAAATTCATTAGGCTTCTACCACAGATCTAGTTTAAAAGACATTTTCTAGAACTATGTGCTTTGATGTTATGTCATTAAATAGAGGTTCAGTAACAGAAAATAGATTATTAGTATATCCTCCAAGGTTATATTAATTGGAAGTGTTCATCAGTATTTAGACAACACTGCTGTAAGGAGTTTTGATTTTAAAACTCCAAGGAGTACTGGGTAGACAAGACACCCTACATATGTACATGAATGAGTGAGTGCAGAAGAGCTGCCAAATATGATTAAACTTATGGTGAACTTTCAAGAAGATACTAGAAAACCATAATTGCACTGTATATTTCTGAATGCTTAACCACATTACATTAACCACATTACAGTAAACATTTATTTAAAGATTAAGAGAGAATCCTGAATACCTGCCAAGCTATTCAGGTATTCTGTCTACCTGCCTGCTTCAGCTATTATGAAATGTTCACGAAGTACTGGCAATCTAGTGACAGGACACATTCTGACTACAACTCGCTCCCCTATTAAAAAAAGGCACGTTCTTAACCATAAATACACCATGTAAAATACTAAAAAAGTACACTGGTGGCTGGTTTTAACCCTTCCTTGCCTCTCTTTCCCAGTGGAAGCTGATCATCCACCTACTACACATGAATGAGAGCATTCCACTAAGCTCAGAGTGGATCTTGTTCCGAGGCAAATAAAAAAGTTAAAGTGGACATCAAAACAAGTTCCAAAAGAAGCTACAGCACTTAAATGACTGAACAGTGAGGAAAGGTATGTGGTTATACAAGACTATAAGAAAATATTTCAGGGAAAAAGAGAAAACTTTTATAACAAAGGAAAATCTAGTGTCACAATAAACCTGTTAAATCACAGACAATAATTACAAAGAAAAATATAAATACCTAGTCAGATCTCCCTTATTCCTGAAGATGTACTTCAGATTATTAAGTCCAAGTACCCTCTACATATGTTTGCTCTCAGCTTTCTTCGTGGATTCCAAGGGAATAAAAGAAGAAAATGCAGAATAAGGAATCTAGCCAACCCTACAAGAGGTAGACTGAACTAAGCCCTGTGAGTTAACCAAAGCAGAAGTGTCATCCTTCCTTCCTGCATACTGTAAAAGGATGACTTTTCAGAGGTTGTACAGGACTTTAAAAAGTATGTGGACATGATATGAAATTTGAAGTTCTGGCATTGCTCTGGTTTCCTTAGACTGCATAAATATTTATAACAAGCAATTATTTCTTGCTGAATTTCTAGAATATACTCGGTAATGTGCTAAACAAAATTAGACTACTCAATACATAATGTTTTTAAAAATTCTTTATTTTAATAAAAGTTCACTGTGCTTATGAAGGATCAGATACCACATATTCCACAAAAATGTATTATCAGCTCAAACTGTGAGCTTCAACTATACCTTTATTAAAAGATTTAATAAGTGTTAGCAACAGTCTAAAAATAGAATATTATTTTTAAAAGGTATTTTTATATCTTTATTTCCGGACTTCTGACAAGTTAATATGCCACTCAAAATGGAAGAGGAAGTTTATTGGCACTCATGCCAACTTATCTTCACTATTTGTACAAGATCTAACTTCAAAAAACATCAGTTGTGCCAGATCTTTTCTTTTCCATAATGTGCATCTGTCCACACCAACTGAATTAGAGACCACCAACTTCTCATACCACATCAAACAATAAGCCATCTTAACAGTTCAATGCATGACTGAGAAATACAAAACATGTATTCTTTCCCCAGAACACATAAGTTTTATCCCACTTTATAGTGCCATTTAAAAACATATTAAGACATTTATAAATAAATTGAAACCAAGATATTTAATACACTAATTTCTACACCACTTGTTTTGAAAACCAAGATTTTGTTTAGCTAGTAAATCTGCTTTGAATTGCATAACCTATAATGTATTTAGTGAAATCTGCATTTTTATTACAGTTCTCCTTTTAAAAGTTTCATACTTCTAATAATAAATGACACATCGTACCTGAAGAGTGATTATAAGTGTTCCCCCATTATTATGGAAGACATAAGGTACATGAAAAGTCTTAAACGACAAGTGACACACATTTTTAAATTATGCATGAAGTGTATGAAAATATACATTGTAAGATTCTTAAATGTATTTTTTAAAAGAAACAGCAAGATAGAATCAGGAGACAGATATCAATAAAACTAAATTCTTCCACAAGTGCAAAAGCGGGCTCACAGGATCTCACGTTAGTAAGAAAACAGAAAAACATGCTTTGAAATTCCAGTGGTCTGTTTTCTAGCCTCTGCTTTTCTTTAAAATAACCTGCAAAAAGAAAAAAAGTGTATTTATCACTACAATCCAGGCAGCAGTAAGAGATCCGAAATGCTAGGCTACTCAGACCAAAGATTCACCTAGCCAAACAATCCATTTCCAAGAGTAGAGTCACCAAGGGTAAAAGCCTAGTAAAAAGGTTAGAAACAAAGCAAAAGCATACAGAAAAATGCCGTATCAGAAAGTATTTTTTTTTAAACAAGAACAATAATAACCAAGAATTTTGTAAAATAAAAGGCTTATTTTAAAAATGAATGCTGAGAAATGGCCATAAAGCTCTCAAGCCCTCAGCAGCCTTACTGAAGCTCTCACCCCGTTAGGCCTAGACAAAAAGAAAAGAAATAAGATTTGCAATTATACAGCTACTATGCTCAATTTGTTTGCAATGACTTATTTCTTTCAATATCAAGAATGCCTAGACCCTTGGAAGGACATTTTTTGGTTTGCAGTTTAAGTAGAAAAATGAACTTCAAAGCCCAAAGTGGGACCATTTAAGTGTTAACATTATTAACATACAGGCAGTTTTTCCTTTCTTCTCATCTGAAAAAAAATAAATGGAGCACAAAAATGTTCAAATAACGTTAAGATTGCAGTTAAAAAGAAGTTACAAATGCGTAAGATTCCAACTGTAACATTCACTTGGCTACCCTACACATCCTGTATATATTTCTGTTACTATAGTAATAGAAAGTATCAAACTAAACACTTCACCAGAGGGGGAAAAAAACAAAACAACAAACTAAACAGAGCCACAGGACCCAAATATCAGATAACACTGAGTTTTGTTCTTCCAATTCACCCAGCAGTAGTAGGTGGTTCAACAGATAACAAATTAAAGAGGCTGAGTTCCTTCATGAAACCTAGGTAAAGCAAACATATCCTAGCGAGTGAAATGAGCTACAGAACACAAACAGATTTCAGTCACACTTTAACACTACTCTAATCCTTTCTAGAGAGAAAGCTGCAACACCTTCTTCTTTGCCTTCTTTTGCATGTACATGAAACTTACCGTGCTCTGTAATGATTCCTCCTCCACAGATATTCATACAGCAATTTTTGTTATGCTGAACTACCCACATAGCAATCCAGTTTAATCTCCCCTTAGTTCTTCCCTTCCTGAATACAACATCACACAAAGCATCTGTTCAAGTAGTATCCACACAATACTGCAAGAACCCACTTCAAACATCTTTCAGACTAAGCAGGCAAGAACTGAAGGTGTAAGAAAGATATCTGAACCTCTCTGAACTATTTCTCACTTGTTCCATAAGCTTCTTTTACATTACGTAAGTTAAGACAGAATGCTTCCCTGATATAGTGTCATCACAAATAAAGATCCTCCAACTTTGGAATGTGCTCCTTTTCCCTGGGCTTTCAGCCCATGGATGCTTGCTGGTAGACTACTGTGTAGACTTACCCACATATTGAAACTATGAATTTAAACATGAAATAATCAAGAAAAAATAGGGCTATATTTAATAGGGCAAGGACAGTTAATTTGATATCTTGGTAACAGTGAATTATGCCAGTGATATATTAAAGAACAATGTTTCTGCAGGTTTTGCATTCTCATTAAAAGCTTACCAACACTAACACAAGAAACTTTTGTATATGCTGTCATAATACGTTTTACTTTAAACAAAAAAGAAAAATATTAAAAATGCTTTACCTTTGCTGCAGCTATAGTGTGCTCAGTTTTAATTATTTTACTTTTGTTTTGAAAAGCATTTGTCCTGGCTTCTTCTGATAGCCGATGGAGAAACAGTAAGAAGCTCAAATGCACCTTTAAAAAAGGGAAGAAAGAAAAAAAAAAAATCAAGGAGGATTCAAACTGTTTAAGCACAGTTTGGTTTTTGTAGAGGTTCATTGTTTGAGACAGTGGATTCGTATATTAGACTGCTTCCAAATTCCTGAAAGATGTCCTCAGGAAAACAAAGTATCATTCAATTCAAGTCTTCATAAATTCCCAAGATATTCCTTACTGCCAGACTCTTGTAAATATAGCTGAAATTTTGTATACTGGAATCATAAAAGTGCTCTATAAATGATCATACAAACAACCGATCTAACAGAAATAAAATCTGATTTTTATTACCAGTTTTTTAACAATAAAATGTAAACATAAATATCATAGAATAAGAAGGAGCCTTTTTGCTTAGTAGTAAATATAGTCAGCTTTCAGTGACAACAGCCAGACTTTTAATGAAAAGCAAATTCACCCCTGCCTTATCACCAAATGGACCACAGACAAGTTCAAGGACTTCTGCCCTTTTTCAGTGCAAAGGAGCATTGACATTAATTTCTCCAGAACAAGAAATTCTCCACTGTCAGAAGGTTACATCCATTTTTTCCCAGTTCACCACTTAACCTTTTTACTTGAAAAGAACTGGTAGGGCAGTATTCCATTCAATACAGAATGCTGCTCTGCTAGAAACAGCAAAAATTTCAGCAGGCAAGGAACTGCTCCAACTTGGACTAAAAACTGCCAGCCAAAAGCACCCCTGTGTAATAAGGGATCTATAACACAAACCTCTACCATTATATGGACGTTATGTGAACTATTTTAATAATCTAACCTGAAGATTGGTAAATGCACCTTTTGTAAATTAAACTTTCAAACAATATTATCTTTGCTATGTAAAGTATACAAAAATACTTTTTCAGTCAAGAGCTCAGAAAAATTTTACTGGAATATATTAAAATTTTATTTATATGATTTAGGTGATTTCCTTACTCTGCTATACCTGATCTGCAAAGCCTAGAAAGATACAAAAAGGAATGTTACAAATTAGAATTTATAGGAATTACTTTGGCAGTGCGTTTGCAGCACAAAGAATCTGTTAGAGGACAGGCATTTCAGTGTTCATATGACAAGCAATTTAGGGTCTTTTTCTAAACTCCTGAATTAAATGAAGCTAGCGTGCAATAGATAAATTTACATAATATTTGGCATAATTTGGAAGCATCTACTACACACAAAGCAGATGGTTTTGAAGATTTATTTAGCAAAATAGCCATTTTTTAACTAGTCTTTAGTTACACAGAAATAATCTCCAATGAAATCAAGCAGTGGCACTAAAATACCGTTCACCATTAGAACTCTCATTATTAGACTTATCAACATGGAGGTTGTATTTCTGGAAACAACCTGGGGGAGAAGAGAGAGGTGGAACAAAAGCTTCCACACTTGCAAGTCCTCCTGCTGAGATACGTAAAGGCAAATTTATTAATTTTAAAACTGCCTTTAAAAACTGCATCTTCTTTGAGAATCACTGTACCTTTATTTTCCTATTTCCAAAGTGAATTACTGCATGTGGAAAAGCTTCCCCTGAGCTCCTATAGATTTAAACATAGTCACATAACTAAAATCAGAACATCTCACAACAGAGCACACACATTAATAAATATTCCAGATTATTCAAGGCAATTGAGAAAGGCAGAATGACTGAATACGATGAATGAGACAGTTACTGACAAGTACCTAAGTGATACCACATTTGTTTAAATACATTGCTTTACTACATATTAATTGTCCCTCTGCATAAAATGTACAACCAGTTTTGAACTAGTAGTGCAAAACACCTTACACAACTGAATGCCTAATTAGAAGAAAGGTTGTGAAGCTGTAAGAATGTATCGAAAAAACTGACAAGGCTGGTTGAAGAGCAACTTCCACACACCTGTTCAACAGAACTAATGAATAGAAGGACAAGATCCATAATTTTGTTTTGCCATCACAACTTCAGAACAATTCTTTAGACTGATATTTTGCCTTCAATGTACACTTATTCATCATTCTATGCTGATAATGAAGAAAAAAGGTGTCATTCAATGCAATACTTTAAGTTTTTTTCTGCAGTGTAAATACAAACATGCCCTTCTAGCATAAAACAAGCAACTGAGTACCTGCTTTTCTTGTGTAATTTCAAGCTAGAAAAAGTTTGCAGCTTTTTATTCATTGAGGAGGGAATATCTGAACTTCAGTACTAAAAATCTTTACCTCTTATTTCCAAAAAGGTAAATAATTGAGTTATAAGAGCACTGGGAAAACCTTAAACACTATTCCTATCTCTTAATTCAAAGATATTATCACACTCCTTAAAAATCAGCTTCTTGAGAAAGTTTGATGAAGTTTCTTAGCTACCCTGTGCACAGAGAAAGTTGTCAACACTTAGGAAATGGCTTCTGACAAATCTTCAAATTTCAAGAGAGATTTAATCAAAAACATCTAAAAAGTGAAGAAGAAACTCCATTCAGGTATTTAACAAAACTGTCTGAATTCTTAATGTCCTTCAAACTTGTTAATAACAATCATGTAAGAAGACATTGGTTTATCAAGGAACAATAATCGCTGAAGGTCGGGAAAAGAAGAACAATCATACTATGTCATAAATCAGGTAGGCACACCTCCTCACTGGACTGGCTAAGTACCACAGCAGATCCAAACATAAAGCATAGATCATTCGGGAAGATAGCCCAGGAACTGAACTAGACAATTCTCGTATTTCCCTGCAGAAGACACAAGCACTCTCCTCAAAATGTACATGGGTTCATCTTGCTAAGACAGCTACTATACATATTTCTAAAGTGTGCAATCTAATCACTCTTACAAAGTTTGGAGGGAACAACAGACACTAAAAAACATACTCTCAAAACTTGTTACTTGTCTAACTACAGGACTAAACTCCCCCCTCCCCCCATTTTTTTTTTTTTTTTTTTTTTAAATAAAGCAAAACTCCAGCTGTGAATATTTATTCATAAAGAGTTGAAGAGCTGTTAGCCACATGCCTAGTTGAAGAGCATCATGGTCAGTCACCACCCCTGGACATTCCTGTTTAAAGGCAAAATAAAAAGGCTAAGACTCCTAACATTAAAAGCCATTTAATTTGATATCACCAGAAGAAATAATCTAAGCTTCCATCACATTATTAAAATTCATTTTCATCTCATCCTTTGTATTGGAATGAGTATTTGCATAGTCATATTTTAAACTAGATCAGATTACTGTTGTTCATTAGTTTCAGTTAATTCAATTCACTGATTGTCTTTGCAGCCCACAGAACACTAGTGCCGGGACGAGGAAGAGGTAGGAACCAACAGCCAAGATATGGAGGGATATCCCACTTATCTCTTTTCAGATACACTACCATGGAAACACAGACCAACTGTTACTAGCAACTACAAAAAATTGTATTAGTGACTGTGTAAATCTGATTAATTTACTACTGCATTCCACTTAATAAGTTTTGAGTGGGTCTGAGCATGAGTCGCAAGGGGTCAGGTCTTTAGTCTATAAAAGTCTCCAAAGATAGCAAAAGCAGTAGGAAGAAATATTTTTATTAGACCAGATAGAAAAATAAGTACTGTTTACATGTAAATGTAAATCCTCTCATGGAATTACCATATTCATTCATATAATTTTTTTTTTTAATTTTGTATATTTACATTTAGGTTCATAGATCCAGATATCAACCTTCAAGATGCTGCAAGACACAACTTTTAAACACATATGAAAGACAGACTTACAATTCAAGACAGTGATTGTACTAGCATACAGTATGCACTAATGCTCTGAGAAGCACACACATTTGAAAAGAAGAGGGCATGACAGTCAAGCAAGTTAAGCCTATTAAGTCACTCCAAATATTTTTGTTTTAATGCACTGATACTACTATTTTTCAGTATGGCAGCTACCACAATCTCTCTTGAGGTCAGGTTTCCTTGCTGTAGCCAAGTAATTTCTTGGTGAGACAAACCCTTCCTGTGCCACAAATCCTCTACTACAAGTCAGAAGGAATCCAGCTTTGCAGGCCTGTTTTCTGAAACATATTCTGTATGGCTCTGTTAGCCCTACACTTTTATGGCAGGTGTTTTTAATCCATGAACAGGAACCCAACACCTTATTCTGCTCACTAGATTACTAACAAGACTTGTCATTTCTTAGTTTTGGACAGAGACTACTTAGATGACCTTCTACAAAAACATGATCATTCAGACTGTCTTAACAGCTTAGCAACTCATTAATCACAATTCAGTTACTTGATATCGGTATACCTGCATTGCTCTAGATAAAGAACAAACATTAATTCCTACTTCTCAGCCCATCTACATCTAACTCTTTGAACAGCAGTGTGTACATGTAGTGACACAGTTTGCATCAGCCTGTCCCTGAATCTCCAAACTCACTGTCAGAAACCTACGATACAGTAGCCACCAGCAAAGTAGAAAGCTGCAATCACTACTTCCTAGTATTTCATTAGATTAACCAATCGCCTATCTCCTCACAGACTTTGCCTCCCCTCTCCCCGCAGGTCACTGCGGGAACACCGTTAGTAGTAACCTGACATTCAACTGCACCCCACAACTCCATCGCGCTCAATCCATCAGCCCATGCCTTTCAAGCAACAAAACGCAGAGACTAAACGTCCCTCTTTGGGGCCACCCGGCCCTGGGCAACCAGAAGAGCTGCAGCTGCCCGTCATGGCCAAACGCACAACTGCTCCCGGCCCAGCCCTGCTACCCCGGGCTCCCAGGGATTCAGCCCTTGAGCTCACCGCGCTGCCCGAGCGGCCGGGGACCGCAGCGGGCTGCTCGGGGCAGGCGCTGCCCCCCCGGCCCGTGCCCGGAGAAGGCAAGCGGGAGGCCGCCGGGGCCAGCGCCGAGGGGCGGAGCGGCCCGCACCCAGCTCCAACTCCAGGCCGCACGGCCGGCGCCCGCCCCTCTCCTTCCTCACCAGCAGGTCGGCGTTAGCCGCCAGGCGTAACTGAGCCTTGTGCTTCTTTATTATTTTCCGCAAAGTGCCGCGGGGCGCCACGCACTTCATCCTCCTCTTGCTGCTGCTGCTGCTGCTGCTGCCGGTGCCGCCGCCGAGCAGGGGCCCAACAGCTCCCGCCCAACCGCCCTCCGACGTTCGAATCCGCCGCCCTGGCGCAGGCGCGCGCCCGCCGTGACGCACTTCCCAACGGCCGCCCGCCGCACCGCCCCCCATTCCCCCCCCCCACACACCCCGCGGCGGGGCCCCTCCCCTCTCCCGCCGGCGGCGGAGCGGCGCGGCCGCGTTGCCGTGGAAACGCGCTGAAACCGCAGCCACTCGTGGCGGGGGGGGGGGGGGACGGGGCGCGGGCCGAGGGGCGAAGGTCCCCTTCCCTCGCCCCCGGCCGCTGCTGGCCGGCCGAGCCTGGCGCGTCCCCCCCCCCCCCCCCCCCCACCCGCCGCGTCCCCAGAGCGGCGGTGGGAGCCCCCCCCGAGCCGGTGCCGGGTGTGGGAAGCGGTCCCAGGTGGACGCCGCGACCGGCCCTTCCCCGCGCAAGCGGCTGCGCGTCAAAACCGCTTGCCTTGCGCGCCGACTGGAGCTCGGGTGTCGCTCTGGGTAACCTCCACCCGCGCCCTTTTTTAAAATCAACGGGAAAGAAAACGGACGGGGCGGCACACCCGGCTGCCCGTACCCAGCCTCCGAGCCTGGCCGCTGCCACCCGCAGAGGTTTCCCAAAACGGGGGGAACGTGGCACCGGTCGGGGGCACCGGCACGGTGCTGCCTGAACCAGCCCCGGGCCGAGCCCTGTGGATTTTCAGTAGCCAACCGTCTCCCAAGCACGATAGAATTTACTCGCCGCAGAAGGCGAGGGAGCCGGACAACGCGCTTGTTGCCTCCGGCGTTGCCTCGTGTGACCCCGCTGGGACGCGTGACACCGGGTGGCTCCGTCTGCCTGGCGTGCAGGACCGGGAGCCTGATTAGCACCGTCAGCCCACTCTGAAACGAGCCTGGGGTGCTGGTTATGCGCTGCGCCTAAACCCGGGTAAAACACTGCTTTAGTACAACTGTGGCATTGACTGAATCGTGCACAGAAACACACGCTCGTTCTGAGGTCGGCCACCACTTCAAAGGGACATCCTTTCTCTAGCATCTGTCCCTGCACTTCTCTTTTGGCTGGCGGGTGCTGCTGACTGAAATACAGGTTTCCCCACAGAGGGGCCCCTGTAGCTTGGCATTCTCAGTGTATTTGGACTGTGTGTACTTAGTTGGAGAAGGGGTCAGGATTTCATACCGAGGTATGGAGTTTTTCAGCATATTTATTAGTTTTTTTGTTTTCTTTGGCCTATGGGATGTTTGCAGATTTCAATGTTAAATCAGTAAGGTAAATATATTGCCTTAATATATGCAAAATTATCAGCACCCAGATATGAATCGGTTTTACTGAAGCATGTTCTTAAATCTGTATGATTTGGTATTTTAGTTAATTTTGCAATATGCACAATATGTAGTCCAAATAGAAGTATGATATCTGACAGCAGGAGAGAATTTAGGATTTGCCAGTTCTTCATACTCTGTCAGATATTTGAAAATCATGCTTTGTTCTTTCAGCTGACTGTCACTTGCCATTAATCGTCAAAAGCGGTGCAGATCTTAAAATCAGGATCTTAAAATCTTTTCTCTGAATGGGTAAGCACACTAAAACATAGGGTTTTTTTCTGCAGTTTAATAATAATCACAGTTAATGGCTCAGCAGCACTGCTAGAAGTAAACATTTGTTTTTTCAGTTAACGGCTATGACTCAGGAGCTACATAGGGTCATATACTGTAATGCTCATAATATACACATAGAAACTTGCACTGGGATCAACAATAATTCAGCATGTCAACAGATTCAAATCTGCAGCTGGGAGGAATCGGTAGCTCCACTGGACCTTACCTGAGCTGAGAACTGGGCCTTGCAATCTCACGCTGGGGGAAACCAGTATGGGCAAGCATTTTACAAATTGTATGAGTTGCAAAAGAACCTCCGCTATAGGTCTAAAACTATTAAAATACATCACACAAATTTGAAACTGTGCAGTGATCTGCATAAAATCAGATATTGAGACTTAAGACTAGTAACTATATCTTTAGTCACGTGCTTGCTATATAGACAATGACTTGAATAATAAAATTTATTAAGTCTAATACTATTAGACTTTTGTTAGTTTTGATAGCTTTATATTTCTAGTGGACTATTCTTTGGTTTTAACCATAGAAAATAATTATAAAGTGCTGTATCAAATCCACTTATTTACCAGATATCCTTTTTTCTTACATTTTGAAAAATTTGTGACATTAGTTACTGCAAGCAATTGATAACAGAGGTCCAATGTAAAAATGTTAAATTATAGGTTCTGATTTGCTGAATGAACGTGAACTTCAGTAGTTAAAATTTCTCCTTGAATGTATACTTTTATGTCTTTATCAATAAATATTTCTGTAAATATGATTTTTAATAGTTTAATTTTAATACGGGTATATTGTAGAACAAGAAAAAATTACAGTGCTGTACATTATGTCTTGCAATAGAGAAAAATTATTTTATAAGTTAACTAAATTACTACATTTCATAAAAATCACAACTGTTTGAATATTTTGATTTGTATTAACACATGGATTAATGATTACAGTGAATCACAGAAAACTGCAAACTCACATGTTTCTGATTTTGAACATGACTGTTTTCTGGTTTTCTGGTAGAATCTGTAATGTTCTGTTATAATGCTATTATGAAATATCATTTAAATGGCTAAAAGAATGCTGAAAAATGTATTTTAAATGAATTATTGAAAAGTTGAAATTGTTAAATTTGCCATGCTCATGTAGCTTCTTAAAAGAGGCAATTCTGTGCCTTATAGGCACATTTTCATGTTTTGCCTGTTCAAAAGCTGCAGGAGTTTTTCATCCATCTTCTATAAGCAGTTACTTTCTTTTCAAACAGTATTTCAAGGATTTTCCACTTTTTAACTACTGCAGTTTTTAAGCTTTCAGTAGTTCATTTTGTGAACTGGGTGTGTTTCGTGGCTTCAGCTGCAGCACAGCATCTTCCCAGTTTTCCAGCAATACTGAACTGTGTTTTAGAACTAAATACATCATCTGGGACTGATGATAACAGCTAGGAAAATTCAGCAATTAAGATGTCACCATCCAAGTCCAACTTCAAGAAAACAGTCTTTGCAGTGTTCTTGAGTAAAGCCGATTTCAGTGACATTATTTTGTCACTTTTGTTTCCAGATTATGTGAGTTTTTTGAGAACAGTTCCATACATTTCAGTGATTAAAAAAGAGGCCAAGTTTGGGGCCATCACTGCTGAACTGCAAACCAGTAAACATTTTGTTCTCTGTTTCTGTAAGGAAGGAGATGAATTTAAAGACTAATTTTATCCACTCCTCTAATACACTGTAAATTGAAACAAGGGTAATATTTGAGAATTATTTTGAAAAGCAGTGTTTCCCTTCTGACATGAAACTTCTACAAGCCCATCTTAACTTGTTAAATTGTCTCTCCCAGCCTGTCCTTTGCAACTCTTAGTTTAATTATTTTGTTTCTGGATTTTGACATTATCTTCAGTCAGACTCTTCATCAGCTCTTCATCAATTTATAATTTCAGAGTCAACCTTCACAATGCTGAAGAATTCCATTTTAAATGTGTGATCTCTTGAAATTAATAATCACATTTTATAGATTCTTGCTAAGCCAAAGGTCCCTCAGTTTCTTCTCTAGTTAGGTAGAGACTATTAAATACTTTCTGGTGCTAATCCAGCTTTGGTGGTTGATGAAAGACTTTGAAACTTATCCTGGATATGAATGTCAAGCCTAAAATCTTTTGATGTTTTCTTCAGTGATGAAAAGATATCTCTAAAACAGAACATAACAATTCAGCAAAAGTAAACTCTTCTATAAGGTAGCTGATAGGCTTGATCATAGTGGTTGGAGCACACAGACTGACTCTCCTGTTACATCTGTATATTCTTTCTGTTGTATATAGGATAATTCAGGTGTGATTGAATACTTGTGCAGCAAAACAGGAAAAGAGAGAATACAAAGGAGCAAATTGTATGTCTTCCTATCTTCTATGGAACTCAAATCTCTTTCTTGAAAAAGAAGGTAGAAATGGCCATTTTAACAAGAAACTTTTCTCCTGTGGCTGTTACTATTAATATAGCAGCAATAATTTAATTGTAATAGTAAATATTACAAGCTCAAAGATGTGTTTGGTAATCATCTTTTATTTTAATGAAGAAAGCAAAGAATTCTCTAGGATCAATTATTTTAACATTTTTTTTATTTATTTATTTAAGCACTATTTCTGTTTTCAGGCCCAGTGTTGAACAGTGAAAAATAAGAAAGGCAAAACACTGTAAAGTGTATTTGAAATTCAGATTATTTGCTGATTTTAGGTTTTACAATTTAAACTTCGGTTTTGTTTTTCAGGACATTCTGTATATCAGCTCTCTGTGTATAAGGCTGTGAAGAACCTGCATAAAGTCTGTTGACTTCCACAAGCCAGATACCATCTGCCTGTTGTAGCTGCTGGGATTGCATTCATAAAAAAGTTAAGGTATATAAATCACAGATTAGGACTCCCTCTTACCTTCAGAGGTATTCTTTATGAACTTGAGATGCCATCAACTGAAAATGTATCAGTTTCATTGCTTCTGAAGTAATTTAATGCAGGATCACGTTTATATATAGCTCAATACTTTATAGTCCAATACTTTATTTAATTATGTAAGAGAAAATTGTTTATTTTAGATGTTCCCAGTGAAATCCACAAAGATAAATAAATAACATCAAAAATAATTATTTCAGATACCCACTTTGCTTTCAAGTAGCTTTTCTCGTTCCTTTTTTAGATTTTTACATTATTTACATTTTGCTCCTGGATCTACTACACCTATTTAATGCCAGTCATATTTCCTACCCCAGATTCCCAAAGGAACGATGTTATCCTGTGCAGATGTCATGCTTTCCACAACTACATACAAGCCAGAAGGATCTTCCAGCACCTCTGCTCTGATCCGCTAATCCAGACCTGCCAAAAAAGACGACCTTCTCAGAGAAACTTTCACAAGCCTAAACAATATTCTGAAAAATACCTGTTGTCTGCCTTCCAAAACATATATTTCTGTAAATGTATTACAGAGAAGAAAGGGGAGCGCAAAACTTAATAACATTCCCTGGGATCTTACTTTACTGAAAACTGGTCTAATTAGCATAACATGTTTAATAGTAATGACCCCCAATAGAGAACTAAAACAAAGATTAATAGATGGATACATATTACTCAACTGCCAACTTTTTAATTAGATTTATCAGGGAGAGTAGATCAGAGGTGTTGAGCATAAGAAGGCCCGAGCCTAATGGTTTTTCTTCAGTTTGTTTTTCACATGAAGAGTAGCAGCACCCTTTAGCCCCACTAGAAGAGACGTTATCTTTCACTTCCCACAAGGACCATGTTTTTTCCACACTGACTTTTTCTTCAGTCAGAAAGAAACCCCTAGAAGTCTGATATGCAACAGTATTTCCCTACCTCTTTGTTGATCGTCTTCAGGTTATGTCAGCTCTCAAGTGCTAAATGATGTGCTACAAAATGGCCTGCTTAGTTATGCATCCTTCCACCAGTTTTCTGGCCGTGGCTGCAGAGGAAGATGGGTGATCCCAATTTGAGATATCAACCCCTGCAGCAAGAAAATTAGCCTGTTGCCAGTGTTTCTGATTGTCGCTATTCCTGAGCTCTCCTAAAATAGTGGAGGAAGTGGTCATGAGGGCACTGTAAATTAAAAATGTCCACGTCTTGCCTGGTACTGCCTGAAAACCCTGTGAATGTAATAAAACAAAGGGACGTACGTGCATATTTGTTAACATTAAAGCCAGTTAAGTCTATTGATCACATGTATATCTCAGGCCAAAAACAGAAATACTTTTTTTTTTTTTTTTTAATTAATAAACAGTAGCTGATAAACAGTTGGATGCTTTCCTGCAAGCAGATTTGCCCTGATGTCCCTGATGATGGATTAACAGCAAATTTAATTCAAAGAGAACCAGTAAAGTGGCAGTCAGGTTAGGTTTCAGGTGAGATGAATTGATTACTGATTACTTAAATTTCACTTCACATGACAGAATCCAAGCCATAATGTTTTTATGTGTGAACATGGTAGAAAAAAGAAGAATGGCAGCTATAGGGGAGCAAGAATTTAAATATTGACTTTCAGGTGCATGGAATACACCTATAATGCAATAGGAGTAGTGTTTAGTGCACAAAGTTGACATGTATTCTACAGTCAGGAAGACAGGAGAGGGAAAAATTAAGTAATTTTTATTTGTTTCTTTTACCATTGTAACTAATGTGGCAGTTAAAAACCTTTCAGATAAAATATTAATAGTTCAGAAGAGGCTGTAATCAGAATATATTTTTTTTCCATGCAGATTTTCAGAAGAGTTTTTGTTAGCTGCCAAAAGGAACATACAGTCACCTGAGAGTGAAGTAATATAATTTATGCCAAACGGTTTACCACAAATAGTTCCTTAGTGATCCACCTTCTTTAGCAAGCAGACATAAAATCATTGGTCTTCAAAATTATGTTCAGAAACTAATGATCTAATACAAGCTATCAAGAGAGGGATGCATAGAGTTCAACTATCTATTTTTCTGGGGGGAAAAGTGATTGAGAATTTTAATGTTAGTTCTGTACTAGTAAAGAATATACACTGGAGAACAACAGAATTGCTCTTTAGTTTCTGTCATTACAGAAACACTTGCATTCCTTTTGAGTGCACAGAAATCTTCTTGAATATGTCATGGTTTTTTCAAATTTGCAAACACCTTTTTTAAACAACAATAAGTGAAATATAAAACCATCTCAAACTTTTCCAGAATATATTGAAAATCAGTAACTTTCTGAAGGTATATAAACAAAAAAGATACATTTTTAAAAACTGCTGCTGTAGCATAAATGAAGGAAAAACACTTCTTTGGAGAATATGGTTAAGTATAGGAATTACTAACGCCTTTTCTTTTCAGCTAGTTAACTGCAAATTTTATTCTTAGGAATGTAGGTTTGGAGGGTTTTTTAGTATTTTGCTATATAGTGTACAGAAAGAGACTTCAAACAATTATCCATTGAGCTAAAAATTCTTTTATTAGCTTAAAATCATTTTGCCTTCTGGGGATGATAACATTTGCAGTTTCAAATGTGATTAAATGGAAGTGGTAGTTTACAAAGTGAGAGATACTGTATATATTTCTTTGAATGTAAACCAACACCAGTAAGTATTGCTTAAATAAATGTAACTTTGACCACAGTTTTGTAAATAAACAATTGCTGATACAATCTTTTTCTTTTCCTACAGAACAAACACACTTTCTTCAAACAATGCTTGACACAAAGAAAAATAGCAAGGGTGTAACACTTCAGGTTAATAAAACTAAAAGATAGCAGCTGTAGCTGCAGCCTTGCAGAAAGGCAAGATGCTGCTCTCTGCTGTAAGAAACTGCATTGGAGCCTTAACGTAAGAATAACCATATTGTCTGTGGAGAAGAGAAACAATATCGAGTTTTCTTCATCTATCCCAGACTGCTGTGTAAGCCTGTTGTTAAAACAGAAATGTACATGGGAGCACAGTAGCTAATATAACTGGTTTAATAAATGGAGGTGCCATACTGTTTTTCTAGACGAGGCTACCTACCTGACGTTATGTAGTATAATTTAACTACCACAAAGCTAAGAAAAAGGTGTATTCGAAACTGAAAGTCACACCTCTTGCATCAGAAATACAATTATAACAAAACTAACTCCACACAAACACAGAGTGAATCATAACACAAATGCAAAATTTTTTTTAAAGAGCATACCTTAATGTTAGCTGACACTTGGCAAACAGAAGTCAGCTCTAAGGTCTGTTACCTTTATCTCAGGTGTTGCAAACAGACATTTTGTATTTGGACTACCTAGCTTGAATATTAGCAAAGATTAAGCACTGAAGGACAGTGATGTTCTTCATAGTAAATAAGGGGTTTAAGTACTTTTGCCAGGGTACGGGCTGTGGCTCCTTAATATCACCAGTGATGTACCAGCTTCCAGATGTGCTATGGAACAGTTCCCTTGGAGCAGGTCAATAGCCTCAAACTGCTGCTAGTTACCATCCTGACTGATGTTACCATCCTGACTGATGGCACTTTGCCCCTACACAAACCAACCAGTCAGTGCTACCACTGAACAATGAAGAGTGAAACATAAAATTGCTGTTCAGAGGCATCTCTTTGCCTAAAAAGATAGCAGGTGTGTTCTTTTTTAGACTTTTTTTTTTTTTTTTTTGAATGGTAGTACATTGATATTGAATGTTGCCCTGCCTTGCAAAGTGAATAAAAATATGCTTATGCTTGATATCAGGATATTTTTTTTTTCCCAGCATGTTTTTCAAACTGGTCTAAAGATACTTGCTGACTTGAAAGATGTGTTTACATCTCTCTAGCATTCTTCTCACTTTTATCTGATGACGTAGTGATATCACTAGGTCTGCTCTTAGGTGCACAGTGTCCTGGGAGACATCCATCAGGAGAAAGAGAAAAAAATAAGAGAAAAACAAGAATATGGAGAGCTGGGCCTATATGCAGGGGTTTCTTTGGGGGGGAGGGAGGCTGGTTCTAGTGTAAATGTGATTTGGTTGAAGGACCATACTCATTGGTATGCTTGGCTGTTTTGCAGTGCTACAAGCAAGAGAAACAGCTGTAAACCTAGCTTAACTCTCCAATTAAGCTGAATTTATGACATCTTTACAATACCAGTACAGAACAAAGCAGCTGGAGACAACGAGTAATTCTGATCCTAACAATCCCTTTTTAGGCTTTATTTGGCATTCTTTGGTCAGGCAAAAGTTTGCCAGTTTGTCTAAGATTAAATTTAGAGGCTTCTGAGAGGCCTCTGAAGATTAAACAAAATTATACCGTAGAACACATGTTCGTAAATGCATAGACTTTAAATGTTCCTTTGTAACTTTATATTTTGAGCAGATAAATCCAATTTGAGTGTCTTGTGAACCCAGAACTCTCACTGATTTCAATAATTACCAGGATTGCACTTTAATTAGGTTTGCCTATTACATTTTTTTTACATAGAAGTAAATTGATTTTTATTTCCAAAATAAATTTAACAATTGCCTTCTGCCACAATTCTTACACTTGTGAATTCTATGTGTGCATGACAAATCTTCATTTGCCCTTAGCTACAAGGGTCTTGAAATACGGTCCTGAAATACATATGTTTGTATGAAGAAGCCACAGACATCAGTATCTTGATGTACAGTCCACAGCCTTACTGCTTTTCTTTGTGATCCCCAGAACAGAGGAAAATTTGAAATGCTTATCAATTTTTTTCTTTTTTTTTTTCATCTGTTTTTCATTTGTGAGTCAGTTGCCTTTAGTAGACCCAAACAGCAGAATCTGGTTGTTCATTCAGAATAAGACTCCTTTTTGTTCTCATAGGCTAGATCTGTACATATGAGTATATTGTTAGGCCTAGTCCTGGGTCTGTGAGGAAGAGGAATGCTACACCTCAGGCACCTATGGCTGAATTCTCTTTTCCCTAAATATAGGGTGATCTAGTCAATCCCCACTACTGGGGACAAACCCTGCCACAGACCATCCTCTGCTCTGGCTCAGGCCAGAGCTGTACCTGCTAATCTCATGCTAGGAATGGAGTAGTTACTACTATTGCACACCAGACTTTGTGCTTGTCCCTTCTCCAGTTTAACATACTGTACCTGTAGCCATGGAATAATGCAGTAAGGATTGCGGAACATTTGTCAGTGGGGCTGAAAGTTAGAGTCCTAAACAAGAAGTTGCATATCAAAATTAGAAAAGCTCAGCAGTCAGACTCAACGGGGAGGCTGGTCCATGACAGTATTGTTTCTGGGGTTTATTTTGTGCTCCAACTAGCCAGGGCCAGGGTCCAGAACATGGATCTCCTCTGTGTTTGGAGGCTGTTCTTACGACTGACCTACAAGATCAGCTGTTTGCTTTCTCTTTCTAGTCCTGAATCATGCTCTGTTTGCTCCAGCAACAGTATTTCAACAGGGAGAATGGGAAGTTGATGTCTCTGCCTGTTCACAGCCTGGTGGCTGGGGAGTGCTTGAGAAGTGGGGAATGCAGTGTTCAGTCCCAAAATTTAAGGAGGAAATGGACTGAGGATCCTGTTTGACCCAGGACAAATGTACTCACCACAAAGGTATTGTACAAAAGAGTAAATAGAAAGTACCAGTTGGCGACTGGGGATACAGAGTCTGGTCCACAGGCACTGCCCTGCACTTCAGCCATTATAAACAATTATTTTTGTTCATTCATTGTTTTGTCAGGGTTTAAATTAGAAAATATCAGTTGCAGAACTAAATTGTTCTCAGTTTTTAATCAGACCTCAGAATTACGCTGTCTGACGCTCAGAGTTGCTTGATGTCAGGAGGCAAGCACAGGATAAGAAATTTATTAAATCTTCCATGAAACAGTTTTATTTCAAAATTTGACTTTGCCGTACTCCAACAGGAAACAATAGTGCAATAACACAGCAACAAAATTAAACCTGTAAGTAAATGGCTACAGGCATATAGTTGTGGGAGAATGGGTTGTATGTATTTGTATAGATGTACATATGAAAGATCTGAGTTCTTCTAGCAGCAGTGTCTGGATCCAGTGCTTTGATTTAGATTGTGTTCCTCTGGGGACACTGTTCCATATGTATATAAAACTGAATTTAGTAATTAAATGGGAACTTCTGCATTCTGGGCCCATGAATACCTACTCATAACAAAGTACATTATTGGGTTCAGAAGTTCTGTCTTTGGGAAGATTTGATTGCAGATTTCCTGTCTAGCATTTCTCTGATAGCTTGAAGTCTACAATATATGAGTGTTCTGTATTACACATAGAAAATAGGCTGATTGAACCTATCAGGGATATGAATTGCTATATGCATAACTAGATGATTAATGTAGTTTTATACAGCATTACCTATATTCTAGCATATCATACCTCAGTGGAACCAAATACATGCATTATTATCACAAATATTGTTTTTCCAGGGTCAGCCCTGATTTGTCTATTACCTGATGAAGTCAACAAATCTTAGTACACATGAACAGAAAAACATCTCTTTAGGATGAATCCTGAAAACCATTGCTCCAAGCAGATAGAACATATAGATCCTTTTCCAAATCTAAATTAAATTTTAATACTTTAATACATTTTTCAATACATGAAGAGCGTCATGTGATCCCAAATATTCCTCCAATCTTTAAAGTTTAGTAAGCATCTGAAAATTATTAGTGAAGTTCTCACACTGTACCTATGCAAAAGATAATGATTATACTGAGGATACTTTGCTGACGGCTAACTTTTTAACTCCCTAGTTAACTCTTCCTCCCATCAGGAAATACATTAATAGATTTTATTGGTTAGTTTCTAATCACTTGCAGTAGTTTTTTCATATGCTTAAATTTTCCTCTTAGATGCAATGAATAAAAGCTACAAATATAGCTTAAGACATACCTGTGACATCCAATTTGGTGTCCTGGAGACTTGGACCTTTTCAGGTCATATAGTTCTATAAAGCAACATGCTCAAAGTTAGTATGAAGTAGGTTTAATACACATTAATGTCTTGCATTTCTTGTTAATAAAGTTCATGTTTGAAATGCAACCGATCTTTCTTATTACTCAAATAAAGTCTGCAGTCTGCAAAAGAATCAGAATCATTTCTGAATTCTGTAGGATTATTTGCAACCTCAGCATCTATTATCTTTGTAAAACAATATCTTCACTATGTAATATGTTAAATAAATACAGCTTGTCTTTTACAAGATGGCTTCTCCCATTGACTGCCAAATGAAGCACAACAAAAATGTTTTAAAAAGAATCCTCAATAGCTGCATGAGTAGTTGTCCACTTACCCCAGAGATGAGTAAAATGTTTGACAAGGAAAACATGGACTGAGCACTTGCACTCATTCACATGTCAAAGCCAAAATAGGAAACATGGTTCACAGTGGAGTGCAAGGACAAGAGTGCTGGAAAGGCATTCTTGCAAATATGTATTACAAAACCATACCCCTCTCCACCGTCTCTTTCGTTTTCATGTTCAGCTCAACTCCCTTTTGGTAAAACAGCGTGCCCAAGTGCAGTGCAGGAGTGTGTATGACTTCTCCTGTGAACAGATGCAGAGCCAAACACCAACCCCTGTATCAGTACTTGGACATATTGCACATCTGGAAGAGCAGTTGCAGCTATTAAGAAAAAGCACATGTTTTTCCTACTGAGTTATCTAAAAGTTTGATTTGTAGTGTGAA